GCATCCCGGCCACCAGCCACTGGCTGCCACAGTCTGGATTCCCCTGGGGGAAGATCTAAGGCAGCTCTTCTCATTCTGCACAAGCCTCTGACTTCTCTCCCCCAAGACCCCAGCCTGAAGGAAAGCTTGTTTGATGTGAGCCAGACTTGGGGATCCCAAACATTCCATTGTGATCTTCATTGTGAGCGTTTTTTCCCTAAAGTCTTCCATTTAAAGAATTCTATGTGTGTGATGCATGGCTTCTCTCTCTTGGCTCCCTTGCTTTTGTGTTTATGCCCCTTTCCTCCTTAGCATTAGCTCTTCCTCCTCCACCTACTGTAAAACAAAACCAAAAACAAACATGTGGGCACTGGGCTTGAACTCAGGGTTGCACACTGTCCCTTAGCTTTTTCCACTCAAGGATGGCGCTGTACCGCTTGAACCACTGTTCCCCTTCTGGCGTTTTGATGTTTAATTGAAGAGCAGAGTCTCACAGACTTTGCTGCCCAGGTTGGCTTCAAACCATGATCCTCAGATCGCAGCTTCCTGAGTAGTTAGGATTACAGGTGTGAGCCATCAGCGCTTGGCTTCAGTTCCTGCTTTGTTTGTTTGTTTGTTTCAGGTCCTGGGGCATGAATTCAGGGGTTGGGCTCTGTCCCTGAGCTTTTCTGTCCAAGGCTAGTGCTCTACTGCTTGAGCCACAGCTCCACTTTGGCTTTTTTAGGTTTAGTGGAGGTAAGAATCTCACAGACTTTCCTGCCTGGGCTGGCTTCTAACCATGATCCTCAGATCTCAACCTCCTGAGTAGCTAGGATTACAGATGGGAGGCCTCAGTGCCTGGCCTCAGCTATTCCTTCTAATGCATCCTCTAGACATTCTATGAGGAGGACAGTGGCTTCTCAACATTATCATTTGTACCGTTGGCGAAGCTAATTGCTTCCCTCCTTGATTGCGTTCTCTTCAGAGAACACAATTGACCTAATACACCTTCTTTAACCTAGACCTGGTCATCTGTTGCTGGCCAGCCAGTCAACCAGCTGCCTGTGGGCCTCATGGCTAAGATTGACCCAATCAGCTAGTAAGGCCATCTGGTCTCCCAACTGGGTACCTTTGAACAGGTGGTAAGGGCAGACGAATTCCCCTTGGAAGGGACTTGAAAGGCAGGTGCTGTGATTTAGCATTGCTGGGACCAAAGTCAAGTTCAGAGATTTTTGCATCAAAATTGCATTTATGTTTCTCAGTCCAGCGTGGGATAAGCATCATATCTTAGATCTCTTAGGACTCGGAGAGATGGTAGAGCAGCCTCTGGCCACACCCCCTCCATGGCCCTGTGTCACAGGGCTGACAGTCAAGCCCCTTCACATGGCCCCTCTCTCTTGCAGGACTCTCTCAGGCTCCAGGATCTTCTGCCCTCCCCTTCCTCACCCTCTACCCGCTGCTCAACTCTCCAGGAACTGACCATACCCCAAGGGGAGGGTCCAGTTTCCAAGTCTTCCTGAGAGTTCCCACTCTAAGGATTTTTGTTTCTTTCGGCAATATTAGGGCTTGAACTCAAGGACTCAAGCTTGTTAGGCGAGAGGTCTTATTACTTGAGCACACTCCCAGCCCATTTTTGCTTTAACTTTTCAAGTAGGATATCACATATTTGCCCAGTGCAGGCATTAAATGGAGACCATATTATATATTTCTAGATAATAATTATACATAACATATTATACGAATCATATAATATTAATCACACATTGCAATTATAAGAATTATATATTATACAATATATTATATATAAATATATACTATGTATTATATGATATATAAATATACTGTATGTTATATATAAATATATTTATATGATATAAATATATATTTATATATCATTGAATGTAAAATATAATAATCTATAAGATACATAATATATACACATATAATCTATATGCTACATAGATACCACATTGTATACTCAGAGATAATCTCTCCAAGTACCAGTGACCCATATCTCTGATGCTAGCTACTCCAGAGGCTGAGATCTAAGGGATCTTGGTTCAAAGCCAGCCCAGACAGAAACGTTCATGAGAGTTTATCTCCCAAATAATCAGCAAAAAGCACGTCTGGGGGTGTGGCTCAAAGTGGTATAACATCATATGAGCAAGCAAGTCAAATGAGCCCAAGGTCTGGAGTTGAAAGCCCAGTACTGGCAAAAAAACAGTACATCTCTTCTGTATTAAATTTTTTACCAAACATTAATTATATAGTAGTTACATTTATGTATATAAATGTATGAAATAATTTATGTATAAATGTATTAAATCCACATATAAATATTAATAGTAAATATATTTATATGTAATCGAACCATATTTTATATAACATATTAAATATATTGTAAATATTAATATATTACATTTACACATAAATATTAATAGTTGATATATAATATTTTATTCATATACAAATTATACATACATATAATTTTCTCCCCCAATTGTAGGGAAAAAAAGGCATGAACTTTGAAGCCCCAAATACCATTTATTCAGCAAGTATTTACTGAATGCCAGATGTAGGAGAAAATTCGAGTTCTATTAATTATTAATGGTACACCTTGTGAAAATTGCTTAGCAATTCTGAGTTGCAGTTTCCTCCATCTATGACAGGGAGTAATAAAGTCTGTTTAATGTCATTTGCAGTGTAATGAGGTATTATTACCCATGATGCATCAAGGAATGCCTGGCGTGTGAAGGCCCCACAGACTCTTGGCTCCTGGAGAACTTCAGCAAAGTGAGGCCCCGCCCACATATGTGCTCTGCTGCCCACCATTGCCAGCCCACCATGCCCTCAATACTCCAACATATACACATCAAAATAATAACATCACTAACTCATGAAAACTGTTTTTGTTTTGTTCTGTTTCATTTTTGTGAGTGTGTGTGTGTGTGTCAGCCCTGGAGCCTGGGTGCTATCCCTGAGTTTTTCATTCAAGGCTAGTGCAGTACCACTTGAGCTACACCTCCAGTTCAGGCTTTTTGCTCATCTGCCTGGGTTGACTTTGAATCCTGATCCTCAGACCTCAGCCTTTTGAGTAGCTAGAATTATAAGCATGGGTCACCAGTGCCCAGCTTGAAAGTTGGGGTTGGATGCAACAGAAAATTGGTAGGTATTGCTGAAAATAAATCCCTTATTTTTGTATTTTTTCTCTTGCTTTTTTTTCCCCTGCTGATCTTTGGTGTAGCTTAGCCATCCCAGTGGGTAAATCTAGCCTGCTACTAAATCACCTCCATAGCAGAAGTACCATATGATTTTGTTGTTGTTATGGTTGATTATGAGGCTTGAATTCAGCGCCTGGGCACTATCCCTAAGATCTTTTGCTCAAGGCAAATGCTCTACCACTTTGAGCCACCACTCCACTTCTGGTTTTCTGGTGGTTAATTGGAGATAAGAGTCTCCTGGACTTTTCTGCCCAGGCTGGTTTTGAGCTGCGATCCTCAGATCTCAGCCTCCTGAGTAGCTAGGATTACAGGTATGAGCCACCAGAGCCTGGCTTGTTGTGCAGTATTGACCGCAGATCTTTCCCTTCCTAGGTGCATTTGTATTTTAGGTTGTAAGAACCCACTCTGGTCCATGAAAGGCATTCAAGAACAAAAGAAGGAATGGATACGAGGTATCTCTGAATCGGGGATTTTCAGCTACCTTGGGAGACAGAAGGGAGGATCTGTCTAATGGAGGGACAAAGTAGCCAGCTCTCTTCCAACCCCATTGGGTAAATGCAGGGCTGAGATTTACAGTACTTAATAGGGAAATCAGCATAGCTACTGAATCATCAGAATGTGCCTAGCACTGGCCTGGGGACTAAGTGTGGCCCTCTTGCTTGTGGGTAATAGATGGGAGAGATGGGGTACTGAGTCATCCAGCAACTGCTTTGAAAATATTTTGGCAATCCACCAATCAGCCTGGCCAATCAGACTAGCCATGTCACACATGCACAATACCTTCTTCAGCTTGGGGCAAATGGTTGTAGGGGACTAAAAGGCCTCTACTAACTTGCCTTCCAAGTCTCAGTTTCTCCTAAAACAACCAAGTGAAATTTGCTCATCTTTGGGGTCTACTCCAGCCCTGACCATCTGTAATTTTCAACTTTTTGTTGTTGTTTTTTCAGAGCTAGGAGATCCAACATAAGGCCTTAAACATACTCAGCAAACATTCTTCCACTGAACTACATCCTCAGGCCCTGTGTATTAATATAGGACTAATAATAACTTGTCATAGTCAGTAAGGAATAGTAGATCTATTTATTAGTAGATCCAGCACAGATCTGAAGTTGGTAGATCAGTGCAAATTCTGGCTGCTACTCTGTGACTTGTGTCCCAATCAGTTAGCTTCTCAGAACTTCCAGATCTAATCAATTCAATGAAGACTTTCTCAGTCCTTTTTTGGTGTCAGGCCCTGGGACGCACTGGTGGACAGATCTAGTTTTGGCCATCATAGAACTCACTGATTTCCACAGATCTCTTTGGATGCAAGTGACAGATACTGATCCCCCTTCAGACTAGGCAAAACAAGAATGTAGGGGACTCTGGTAGGCCCCAGGTGTGGCCTTACTTAGAGTTCTAATGAAGATGGCAGCAACCATTCAGCCCATGTGTACTTTATTTTTTAATTTACATTTTATTATTTTTTAATTTTTATTTTATTTTATTTTTTTTGTAGAACAAGAACAGGTCATTCCGCTATTGACATGCATAAACATTTTCTGTTCTGCTGATGCTATAAATTCAATACCAATTCTCCAGCCACATCAGTTATGAGCATAAAATATATCATGTAACCTCAAATCTCTAACAGTGGAAGGCTTAAACAAGAATGGATGCTGCAAGAATGTTGTTTCCTTTGATGTGACAACTGAGCATCCATGTCCCTCTCCATCAGATGGCTTCTTCAGCATGTTAGAACAATGAGGAATGGTTTAGTCTCATAAATGCGTTAAGAGTGAAGATATTGGCCACATAATACACATGCTCCATTTTTAAAAAAAATTTCTGAATCTTGGGCAAATGTTCTCTTGTAACTGCTTTACAGTTTCTAAAAGCAGTTATTGTCCAAAGCTGGAAGAACTTAAGTCTTCTCAGATGATGTGCCGGGTGCTGGTGGCTCACGCCTGTAAACCTAGCTACTCAGGAGGCTGAGATCTGAGGGTCACAGCTCAAAGCCAGCCCAGGCAAGAAAGTCTGTGAAACTCTTATCTCCAGTAAACCACCAGAA